ACGGTTGATATAAGGCTTTCGTTATTTTTTTCAGGTGAACGTAAAACTATTAAGTTGTTTCAAAAGTTTTCCCCCAAATTCCAATTTTTTGCCTATTACTACATGACAAATAAGCGAATGAATGTTATTTACGTACTGTCATTGATGACATGGGTGGATTCAGTCCATTCCGTGACGAAACGTCGTAATTATGAACGAATAGAGTGTTTTTTCTTATAATGTTATCCGTATTTGCTACTGAAGAGCTGATAATGCCAGTGTCTTACGGCTAAACATCAGATGTCTAGCAGTGAGGACGCCGTGAAATTTCACTTCTTTCATTAATTATATTGTGTAGGAATCCTGTGAATGATATCTGATTCGATTCCATTACGAATGTTTGAAATACAAACGGAATAGAGAAAAGTGTTTTTCGTATATAAAAGTACTTGTTTTGAAAGTTTTTTCCTTCGTGTAATTCAATGTTTATATGAAAATAGCTGTTTCGGGAGGAGTTTCTCTTCCAGTTTGTGTCTCAAAGTTTGTGTCAGAAGCCAATATTACAATCGGTAAACACGATAATTATTGACATTATGCGACATGAATATACTTACTCGGTTTATCAAACGGCGCGTCGTCTTCTCATTTGCATATTAATTAACAGTCGTTTTTAATTTGGCCTCCACACAGCATCATGTGTAAAATACGTGCTCTTCACAACAATATTTCAGACAAATCGGTAAATTATAACAAGATAGTCGCCATTTGTTTTACGATTTCCATTAAACGCGAATGAATAGAATAATTTTGTTGATTTTTTGAAAATTTAGTACACTCCGGGTACTCATCAGTATTTTTCTTTGCTTCACGTGATGAACTTGGTGTATAATTGCTTTCATTTTCGGTACCAGGTAATTTTAGGGTTGGGAGAATAACCATAATTCGTTTCTACACAATGTAATTTTTAATGAGAAATTTAAATGTTTCATCCTTTGCTTTGTTTGTTTCCATTTTTCTCCTTTTTTGAGCACACCTTTGTCAATAACTTTTTGTTTTCGGAACCAGGTAATTTCAGTGAAGAATAACACTTATTTTCCTGGGCTGGAAGAATAACCATAATACGTTTCTATACGATGTAGTTTCTGATGAGAAATTTTAATGTTACGGTTTTTGTTTTGTTTGCGTCCAATTTTCTCCTTTTTTGAGCACCCTTTTGCCAATAACTTTTTAATTTTGGTACCAGGTAATTTCAGTGTAGTATAAAACTTCTGTTCCTGGACTGGAAGAATAACCATAGTACGTTTCTACACGATGTAGTTTCTGATGAGAAATTTGAATGTTACAATTTTTGTTCTGTTTGCTTCCAATTTCCTCCTTTTTTGAGCACCTCTTTGCCAATAACTTTTTAATTTCGGTACCAGGTAATTGTTTTTGGTACCAGGTAATTTCAGTGTAGTATAAAACTTCTTTTCCTGGGCTGGGAGAATAACCATAATACGTTTCTACACAATGTTAATTTTAATGAGAAATTTAAATGTTACATTTTTTGTTTTTTTATTTCAATTTTATTATTTTTTGAGCACTCTTTGTCAATAACTTTTTGTTTTCGGTACCAGGTAATTGTTTTCGGTACCAAGTAATTTCAGTGTAGTATAAAACTCCTTTTTCTGGGCTGGGAGAATAACCATAATACGTTGTTTTTGTTGTGTCCAAATCGACACGCTACTGTTTTGTTGTGGTTTTGTCCGTTTAGTGGAAATTATTCTAAATGATTATTAGGCTATCTCTTATAATAAAGATCTACTATGGACGTATTATGCAAAAATCATCGAAACCAGTTTTGCAATGATTTCGGATATAGGGTCATAATTGAATACTTCCATTCAAAAGTAAAATAGTTTCGCCAGATTTCAAGTTTCTACATTATTCCATGCCAAACGATTACTCAACATGGTTTACCTATTGTTTCTATTTTGTTATAGAGAAAACATAATGTTACGATACAACGTTCTGAAATTAAAACCGAAGGTTGCAATATAACGCAACCATTCTCGTTTGTATGTTTAAATGAATAATAATAATAATCATTTATTGATATTTTGATATAAATGAATTAGAGAGATAGACTGCGAAATTCATTCAAAACGGCAAATGTGCATGAAACACGCTTCAAAATGATATTGAATGATAATAACAAATTGTTTATTGTTAGCCAGTGAATGAAATACACGTATACAGGATATAAGTGTTAGATCTGTTGACATGTTCTTCCACACTCTCTTTGCAAGGCAAAAAAAAGTGAAATGGAAAGTACATTTTTAGGAGACATTGACTTTTGGAAAAGAAAGATTTTGGCTAGGAATAATATACAACTGGCGAACCGTTGTTCCGTGGGGTGGTCCGCTATCTGATTGCCAGTGGGAACTACTCTAGGATATCCTGGATCGGCTCGGCGGGTCTTCCAATGCTCCCAGGAGTATGGTTGGGGGAAACGGGAGCTTTTTCCTGGGTATCCTTCTGGATCCTCCACGGGGTGTCCAAGGCGTTGTGAGCGAGTTGATGGCTTAGGCAGGGTTGGGATTTTTAGTCCAATCGTACTAAATTTAGTACTTCTTGACTTCATTCAGTAGTCTAGTATTCTGAAAAGAAATTTAGTATTCTCAACAAATATGCCAATATGAGTCATTCTGTCATCGTCATTCACTGTGATTTGAGTTATATACTTTTAGCAACTGGATTTTGTGCTCTGATTTGGCCCGCGGGCCGTTCATTGGCTGTCGCGGGCCGGATTGATGACACTGGCAGGCTGGATTTGGCCCGCGGGCCGTAGTTTGGAGACCCCTGCCTAGAGGCATAAAGTTTAAGATCATCCATATAGAACAAATGGGTGACCTTGTGCCTCTGGTTTCTGGGGGTGCCACCGATTATTATTATTACTATGATTGTTATTATTTGGTAGAATGTATGTTGTCCAAGAAATTTGAACATTCACCCTATTTTTGGAACATACCTCGTATACGATAAAATCAGTTGCGCAGAGATTTTCTTGTTTCACTGAAAAATAGTGAGAAACTCTACAGTAATAAAACTTTTTTGTTTTACGGACTCATCATCTTATATTCCATCCCAGGGACGTGTCATTGAAACACAATTTTCAGTACGAAGAACATACCTATGACGCAGCTTGTGACGTATAATCGGCAATGCGATGAAAACAGGTCAACCAACTGACTGTTAAATGAAAGTATGGCGACAATCTCGAGGGCGCCGGATTAACGCAATTCTTCTCGAGTCGCTGAAGGCACAAACGCGTTTACTGGATTATTACGCACATCCAGAACGAACGACACGAAAATCTATCGCCAGATTAATGTTTTATGTAAGGTCACATGTTGGGGTGCGTTACGCAACAAGTTCGTGCACGTTAAGAAAAGTCTTTAACGTCCACGAAAACAATTGATTATCTAATACCCACGCAAGCATGAGGAGTTTAATTGCCGATTCCTCTTGTTTTCGTCTGGTGTTTGTGTATGGAGTCGTGATAGTAATTGAGTAGGTGTATGATTACTAGAGATTGCATGCGTTCGTGCGACTAGCTCGTTGGGAGAAACATGTCGCACAAAACGTAATACATTCTCGTTCAAAAATTTGAATATATCAGTTCCAGTTATGCTGGGACCTTCTTCCTCAGTATAAAAGAAGTAAACGATATTTTGCACTCCTAAAGTGGAGTTCAAAGGCCAAAAAAGCCAATACATAGAAATGATGCCGCAACAAATTAGCCCACGTGGACTGTAGAATTCGTATTGGATAATTTTTACGTGTTCAGTTCAAGAACTGATCGCGATTTGAGTGTTGAAATTCGATATTGGTGCAGTTATAATTACTTAAAATTCTTGTTATAACGCGGTCGTCTTGCATTCGGCTTGGATGGTTTTGGAAACCATAGAGCATATTGTGATAAGGATTCGACACGTCGCCCATCTGTTCAATGAGGCTGTGGCCGCACAAGATCCAGAAGAGAGAAGAGAGAAATTCAACTCTGTTGTTAGGTATCATATTCAGGTTTTAGGGTAAGTATAATAGGTACGTGTCGAACTGGCCATATAGTCAAAGTGAGATAAATATCAGCTTCAAAGAATCATTTCAAGAAATGGGTATTTTCACTGCCTTTTTTTATTTTGAAAATGCAATTTTTTAAAGTATACTTCTTTTGGCGCGTTAGGGAAAAATGACGAGAGTAGAGGCATTTTCTGGCGTTGAAACTATGCCGTCACATCAACTAGGATTTGAAACGTATTCATGATGATTTAAAACTAGCATGAGGTTGGTTTTGATAAGGAATTTGACGTTACGTTACGTCAGCTGTCAGTTTCTGCTTTATTTTGGTCTTTATAGTTATAAAGTGCTGAAAACTTTTCTTCAAATACGTTTTATGATGTAGGATGTACAAATTTTCATTTGCACGTATCCGATTATAATTGACGTTAGAGAAAATTCAAAAGTTTGTTTTTATTATTGAATTTGACATCCGACACAAATTGAATCATTCCTTTCTGGCGATTCTAATTATTAATGACGTAAGTACGAATCGCTTTTGAATACACGCTCGAATACGATTCAACGCCAGAAAACACCTCAATTTTTTACGAAAAACCGCCAGCCTGAAGTTAGCTTCTTCTTATTTAATTCATATGGCCGCTGCTTCTCAGTCGAGCGTATTTGGTCCGACTCCTGCTGTCCATAGTGAACAGAAGCTTCGTCAGGTGACGCCGCTGTCTTGCTCGACGCAATGCTGCCACCCTAAGTTTTCTCATTCACGTTTTCTTTTATGAAACTACCTAATAGTTTTACTAGGGGGTCGCCATTCCTTTCGAAATGTCTTTTACTTCAATATTTATTCGAGCTTGACTTTATTTTTTTAAAAAACACCTCACTTTTGGGCTGCCATTTTTGAGGACGGTCAAAAACAAATCCCTTTGACATGGAAGTCGAGGAAAAACTATTTCTTTTCATTTCAGCTTGCAAAGTAAAATGAATCATATATACAGCGTTTTCATGTTTATTATTATCATAATGAATGGAGCAATAATGGGATATGGAGTATATGCATATATGAAGGTAATTTTATCGATGACACACATAATAAGTCATACAAACATCAATCAGCTACTTCAGAATAGGTCGACTTGGTCGGTGAAACGCCTGAAGTTGCAGCTTTACCAATTAACTATGAGATATTTTCTCAAAATTTCCCAATCGAGTGGATTATCCATATTTTTTCACGTTTCAAATAGCTTTCACAACGTTTTTTCAAATACAATTCTTTTTGTAGGAAGGAAACATTTCGCCGATTGTTATAGCGTTAGAATGGTTTATTGGGTCATTCATAATTTGCCACGGTGGACAACGAATTCAGGACGAGGTAAGTTATATTGAAGCAGGGATCATTCATGGATGAGGCACGTGTTTCTTGCTCTTTAGCCGTCATCAGTACGGTATAGTGAAGTGCAAGGTTAGTTAACACTTGGTTGCAGAAAGAGAACAAATGCATCAAGAGGAGCCAGCGGCACTTTGTGGTATCAATCAAGTCACAACGGGTTAGAGTCACCACAAGGGAGCTTTAGCTACCTGCTACCTGTGGATTTGATGTATTCAGAGCAGGGAAAATTCAAGGACGAAGCAACCAATTGTTGCTTAACCTTGCACTTGGTGATACCGTACTGATGACAGCTAATAAGCCAGAAACACGTGTCTACGGTCCGCATATTCTTTAAGTGCTTCGTCTATGACTTTTCCCCGCTTTTGATGACATCAAATCCACTCGCTATATAAGATGAATAGGTGAGTACTATTCCGATCATTCCCAATTTGATACCAATTCAAGAGCCACCAAGTTAGCTTACCAAGTTTGTATGCTGGCGTTAGTGGCAAGCTAACTTGGATGTCACATCAATAGGTGGGTTCACTTACGTCTCGCTTGCGTTTACGCAGTTATTTTTATCGAATCCTCTTCTTAGTTCTTCTCATTTTGTCATCAATCGAGGTCCGCCTGCCCGGTACTGATGATGCCCAATATGCTGGAACAGCTGTCTACCGGTTGCTTTTAAGTTGAAATCAATTTGGGAATAATCAGAATAGACCATGTTTATCTTTTGATTTCCATGGAATTATTTTCCAGCAGCTCGACTGCATCAATCCTTCTTGAATATCATATCAATTCTAGAAACATGTGGATTTGTTTTCCGATGGCATTCCAGGAAAGCTTCCTAAATGTCTGCTAATGCAGTTGTTGGTTGTCGGTCAAACCAGCAACGCCAACATGAGAAAACTTGGCAAGCTAACTTGGGTGTCACACCAATAGGTGGTTCCACTTATGCCCAGCTTGCTTTTACCCAGTTATTTTTAATAAATACTCTTTCTCGTTTTTCAGGGAAGCTCTTTTTAGTCAGGGAAGCTATAGATTACGCTGTAGACGACCCCTCCCGATATAGAAGGCCCCGACACTCTGTCGTATGAGGCCCCTATGTCCTCCGTTAACAGATGAATAATATCTTCATCTATCTCACCCCAGCCAGGTAGGGGTATAACGCGAAGGGCGGTATGGATGTCTAAGGACTTTCATGCCACCATCAAACATCAGTTGTGACCCATTTGTCTCTCTGACAAACTTCAGTTAAAAGGGGAAGGAGGCCAGGCTTCAACCTGAATAAAATCAAGATGGTTAACGTCGT